CGTGGACTTGATACATTCTCAGACGTTTCGCCGGCATCGTAGTCGGCATCATCATTGAGACTTGCCATTCTCCGCACCAAGATACGAACTCGTCAAAGAGACTGCGACCATACCCGAGGCCACAACATCTTGGTCTTCACATCTTCAAATAGAACTTTGCTTCATCGATAATCCCACCACAGAATGGGGGATTCACATCTGATAGGACATAGGCGAAGTCGAAACTGCAGTCCCTACAAGTTTGGAGAAAGCAAGGTTATGTGAAATTAAATGTGGGAAAATTCTACTGCTTATATGCTTAGATTTTGCCGTTAATTGTTTCATTATTACCATCCAGGATGACTATAACTCTATTTCACGACTGATTGATAGTGCCGAAATCTACTTTTAATGAATACAAAAAGATTGGGCCAAAGTACTACTGGATGGCTGGCCAGGCATGGAGTGGAGCAAGTAGGCCTTTCAGACATTCTCCTCCCGTCGGGCTACTTTAGTTTACATGCGCCCGACTCGGCAAGTGCAGCCCCACCGACACGCTTCGGTAGAATAAGGTCCGATCAGACAGGCTTTCGTTGTCAACGCGATTATGAAATGTAGTCATGCACAAACATGTTTCTGGGCGGAGGAGGTTTCGCAGCGATCAGTCTTTGACCCAGGACTTGCTGATGCCAAATTGTGTAAACCTCTTGTCCACAAGATACAGAACGCTCCTTGACAAAGAACAGTTGAAAGAACAGAGGCTCTGCAAATGCACCCTGGAAGTACAGCTGCCTGTATGCACGGCTAGTTGGTGCTGCTGACATGTCCAGTCTTAGTTGCCCAGACTCCTTCAAGTGCCGCTCACTCCAGACGCACCCCTCCGGACCGGAAGACGGCACATGGTATGTCGAGGGTGTTGGTCTTGTTTTGTTTTTTCGGCACAAGACCCCACAAATGAGTCACCCGAGCCAGACCACTAGTGCTGCTTAGTTGGCAGCACGACGACTGTACATGGGCAAACGGGCTGTACCCCTCTTGCCTCAAACTCAACCGATTTGCACGGTCTGTCGGAGCTAGTTCAAGCCTTCTCGGCCAGCCCGTCGTAAAGGTGGGCGCAGACCTGTGACCCTCTACTTGGTAGTGTGGGCTATGGGCCGTGTGTGTCCGACGGTGATTGGACGAGCGGCCACGGTGTGAACGACTGACCGGACAGACCACGAGACCCAGATACCACGAGACCACGAGAACCCGAGACCACGAGACCGACCGGAGAAGCAGGCACATGTCTCCAAGGCCAGGTCATGTAGCTGGACGAGGGACTGATAAGCGCAGCGGCCAGACAATGCGGCACAGGAAGTCGGCCGAAAGAGTAGACCTGCAAATGTGGACCCGGTTCTGGCGCGAAGGTGTGGCAACGCCAGTGGCCCTGTGCGCATGTGAACACGACGACCTGATGCACGACTGCATTTGGACAGTCTACAGGTCCTGTGGAACGCGAACTCTTGCAGACTGTGGCGAGATCACAGACTGTCGGCCGCGTGCCAAAAGGAAGTTGGCATGCTTGTCTTGGCCCCAACTTCTTTTGCCCATCCTTCGCCGAGGCCGCACCAGACAGGATGACTCAGAATGTGCTTTGTTATCGTGCCTGGCATCAGCATCTGCCAGATACCGCCAATGCGGCCGACTCGCTCGCAGTCTCCGCTTAGACATGTTGTTATGTCTCTACTTGTACCTGTGTGTTTGTGTGTGTGTGTGTGTTTGTTTGTGGTTGTTTATTTAGTCGCTTATTTTGCTCTCCCTATTCCCTCGACAGCTGCTTTTAGTTGACAATCGCAAGCCATGGAAAAATGGATTTGGCAAACTGAAAAATGCGAAGCAAGTTGGGTTTCGAGACCTCGCTCGGTTCAGCATTGTTGAACTCGCCTCCATTTCTGGTACAAGGA